CCAAATAATGTGCTTGAAACAAAGTTTGTGTACACTACTGGAAAGCGAAGGCATCACTATCTCAGCCACCCATGTGGACAATTTTAGATTTTGGAGTATTTCAGAATTCCAGACAAGGGGGAAACCAGCAAGCATTGCCCACACACTTTAAAACTCCATTTTAAAATCCTACGTGTAAGAAATACGAAATTCTCTGGATAATTAAGTCCTTGCGCCATACTAATTTGTGCCCCGGCGCTCCAAAATCACGGCACGCATACAAAATAGCCAGAACTCTTCGTAAGCTTTCATAAGTAATGTTCAAACTTCTATTCACAAAGCTTTAGAATAGCCTATGTATACTCTAATTGCATATAGGTATATTTCAATATTTTAAATAATTCCCTTTGATTAAATCATCAAGGTTTTTTAATGCTACCCAACCCGAGGCCTCAGAAATTAGAACGAGATCTAACTGTGAATTAGAATGTCGCATTGTGTTGCCAAACCTTGGAGGGCAGGTGACGTACCTTTCAGAACACATCTTTCAGCTGAGATGTGTCTTAAAGCAGCCCAATGGAAAAAATCAAGTTGCCTTGAGATGTGGGAACTTAAAAGATGAATGCATTGCTCATTGGGTTACAAAGAGACTACAGTGGGCCCTTGGTATTCACTGTTGATAGCAAAACACATGGATGTTCAAGTGAAGCTTATATATCTGTGGAATAATGTCCAGGGTGTTGGAGTTCAGCCTGTGATTGTGTTTCAGGATCAGAGTGCTTTGGATGTGGTAAGTGATGCCAACAAATTTCAAGATGGCAATAGTTTGGTCATTGATACTAATGCAGAGAAGGTTCAGGAGACCCCTGTGCAAAGTGTAGTTTTCCATGAGAATGTCGCTGAAAGGTGTGGGGATGATAGTGTGCTCCCTGAATTGCTACCAGAGGGTTCCCGGGATTTGGGGCTTGAAAACAACTGGGCATCTTGCCAGCTGCGAGACTTAATGAGCAAATAGATAGGTGAGAGGAAATTAGACAAAACAGACAGGTCGAGCAGTGCCTTTGGCGTTCTGCCAGGCTCCAACAGAAAAAGATAAGAGGATCTCAAATAAAACGAAACCAATTCCTGAGTGTGTGGAATAGCTTAATGAGGGGATAAAAAGTTCCAAGTATGGGAAATATAGTCAGATGAAGCATCGTTGAAATCAAATGTAGTTCTCGTCCTTTGCTTCATGGAAGCTTTGCTTTGGAAGATTCTTGTCTAAGTATTTCTTGTTCATGGTTAATGTTTCCTGTTTTCCTGAATTATATTAGGGAATTGTGGACTTTGTTTTTATGGACTTTGCTGAACTTTACCATGGACTATTTTTGCTCCTGCTTATCTTCAAACCTAATTGGATTTACCTATTTCTTTAAAGTGCTTTTTACTTGCTGCTTTTTACTTATCTTCAATAAAAGGATTGTTTTCCAATCAAAAGTGTGGTGTTTACAGTCAGAGGGCTTTTCCTGTCCTGGAGTGCAACACAGGGAGGGATTCCTGGATTCATTGATGAGCCTAGAACCGCAGGTCTCAGCAGTGGCCGGTAGAGGCTTTGAAGAATTAAAACTTGTGTGCCAGCTGTGCCCGTACCTTGGGAAGTCTGACTTGGTCACAGTGGTCCACACTCTTGTTGCATCCTGAATAGACTACTGCAATGCACTCTACATGGGGCTGCCTTTGAAGACTGCCTGCAAGCTTCAACTAGTCCAATGGTCGGCAGCCAGGTTGCTCACCGGAGCAGCGTACAGGGAGCACACAACCCGTCTGTTACGCCAGCTCCACTGGCTGCCGATCAGCTTCCGAGACAATTCAAAGTGCTGGTTTTAACCTTTAAAGCCCTAAATGGTACCTGTCCAAACGTATTTCCGCTTATGAACCATCACAAAATTTAAGGCTCCTCGGCTTGAAAATGGAGAAAGCACCTCCCTAGAGCCAGAGATGAGCACCACCCCCAGAAGCCGGAAATGAAAGGAGAAGCCTCTGAATTTGTTTGTGTTTGTGTTTCATTGTATATGATTGTAAAGGCACTGAATGTTTGCCTATGTATGTAAATGCTGTAATCCACTCTGAGTCCCCTAGGAGGGCGGATGATAAATAAAGTGTATTATTATTGCATTGTATTATTATTATTATTATTATTATTATTATTATTATTATTATTATTATTACTACTATTATTATTCTACTGACCTGACCATTTCCCCCTTGGAGTGAATAGGCATTCTCAACAAATACCAACACTCTTGCTGCTCCCTTCTTGTGTAAATAACACATATAATATACAAATGGGGGGGGGGGGGGGGGGGGAGAGAGAGAGAGAGTCTGACTGCCTGGAGGCTTTCTCTGTCTTTTGCGGTCAGATCTCACCAAAATGGCCAAGGGCTGGGCAAGCAGACAAGGGCATGACTAAACTCAAAACCATCCAGCAGCTTGTCTTGTGGTTCTCTTATAATGTCTACAGGGCATACCGATTCTTAATTTTGGGCCCTTCCCATGATCCAAGGTGCAGTCCTAAACCAGATTTTCATACCCATGAAAAAGACAGCGTAATCCCCAAGACACAGGCTCCCGTCCATTGATTATTATTATTATTATTTACTTTATTTGTACCCCGCTAGCATCTCCCGAAGGACTCGATGCGGCTTACAAAGGCCAAGGCCACAAAACACAACACAAACAATATAACACCAAAAGCAAAATTAAAACAGTTAAAGCAATATTAACGACATGCAATAGACAGTATATCAAGACACAATAAAAACTGGGCCGGGCCAGAGTAATGGGTACAGGATTAAAAGTGCTGATGTGGCAGGTGGTATACGAGGATTATAGGGCAAGTGCAGTGTGCAGTGTGCAATAATCTTAATTCTACTAAAAGTGCTTCGAGGACTTGTTATTGGAGAATTCCTATTCTGGAAAGGCACATCGGATCCGTCCTTCCAGCATGCTCACCTGACTCCATCATCCATCCAAAAACCAATTATGGTACGTATGAGAAAGCTGACCAGTAAATGGGCTGCTGAATGACTACTAATCCTTTTGCTCTTCACAACTGTCCCCCTTGACCTGCACCCCATAAAGTTAACCAGATGTTTCAGGTATGTTGTAGGACATTATCCCATCGCCTGTGATTAAAGAAACCAATTGCTGGCTTGGATCAATAAAATGTCCTGGATCAGCTCTCATCCACATAGGACAGTGATGGGCAACCTTTTGAGCTTCGTGTGTCAAAATTCCCCAAAAACCTGAGCATAACTTGGGTGAGGTGTCACTTCGAGAGAGAAAAACACACCATAATTTTGCAATATTTATAGTTTAAATAAGAAAAATGTGTATTCAATGCTGAGTTATGGAGTGAACAATGCTCAAACATGCAGATGTTAAATTTGTAGAGCCTTTTACAAATTTAAGGATGGAATTAGATTGGCTCTTATAAGATGTACTTCTCTGTATGCGGCTGCATGTGTCTGCGTGTCATCAAAAATAGCCATGCGTGTCAGTGCTGACACGCATGTCATAGGTTCACCAACACGGACCTAGGAGAACACTACCTGTAGCTCTTTAGTCCTCCTATGACAACATAAATTACAATGCTGATGTGTAGAAACTTGATAGAACAGCCAAATGGCACATCCAAAGTGGGACAGTGAAAAGATGGGATTGAGCCGTCTCCATTGCTTTTCCATAAAACTAATGCATAATTATTTACGTGGCTTCTATTGGGCAACAGAACACTTTCTAGGTAGGCACTGTCCCAGGTTGAACCCTTCACAGCAACCTGTTGTAATTGGTGATGGGAATGACCTCTCTTAGTCTTAGCATACAACATCCAAAAACAAAGATGGTTCCATAGAGATGGCTCCAAGTTTTCCCAACCCAAACACATCATGCATCTATTCCATCATTCCCTCCTTAATGGATTTACCGTGTTAGTAAGAAAGCTATAAGAAACTAGGGAGGCAAGGAAAGGGAACGGAATTACAAATAGAAGATGATAGCATCTGGATCCCACATAAAATTCCGTGAATGAGGCAAAATGCTTGCACAACCAAAGCTTCAGCTGGACGCATTCAAAACATGTAATCCAATATATAAATTCCTAATCTTAGCTCTAAATAGTTTTTAGATTGTTTAATTAGTCCTTTTTACTTGTTACACTGTTTTAATAGATTGTTAACCTTTTCAAAACATTCTTATGATATACACAATTTTGAATCTTGACAGATTTGTTTTATTATACCCTGCTCCCTTTTTTTCCATGTCAGGAGCGGCTTGAGAAACTGCAAGTCGCTTCTTGGTGTGAGAGAATTGGCCATCTGCAAGGACGTTGCCCAGATGATTGATGTTTTACCATCCTGTGGGAGGCTTCTCTCACGTCTCCGTATAAGGAGCTGGAGCTGACATAGGGAGCTCATCCATGCTCTCCCCAGATTCAAACCTCTGACCTGTCAGTCTTCCATCCTGCTGGCACAAGGGTTTAACCTATTGAGCCCTGAAATCTCTGGATAGAGAGTTGGATATAAAGATTGCAATAAATAAACTAAAATCATCTTGCAACGGCAGAGAATCAGTTCAGAGAATCAGTTCAATCATTATTTTTGGGGGACGACTTCGAATCTTGTTTGTGAACTCGCAGGAACAAATCCCCCTCCCCAAAATAACAGCAACCCACCAAACACCACCAGAGCCCCCAGTGGTGCAGTGGGTTAAACCCCTGTGCCGGCAGGACTGAAGACCGACAGGTCGCAGGTTCGAATCCGGAGAGAGCGCGGATGAGCTCCCTCTATAAGCTCCAGCTCCTCATGCGGGGACACAAGAGAAGTCTCCCACAAGGATGATAACACATAAAAACATCCAGGTGTTCCCTGGGCAACATCCTTGCAGACGGCCAATTCTCTCACACCAGAAGCGACTTGCAGTTTCTCAAGTCACTCCTGACATAAAAAAAAAACAGAGCCCATCCTTCTTCCATCTCTTCTTACCTTCAGTTTTTCGAACCGGTCGCTCAGCGATGCCACCTGGTGATCCCGATGCCGCCCCACCAGTTTGCATAAGGCACAGATGAGCTGGTCATCAGCCACACAGTACATGTTCACCTTCTCGTTCTCGTGCTCAAGACACGTCAGTCCACGAAAGTGGGCATCCGGCACGGGCTCCACCAAGCGGTGGCTGGTGAAGGGCTTCTTGTTGGGGTGCGTGGCCCGCAGGCAGCGGTCGCAGTAGGACACCTCGCAGGTGATGCAGGTCTTGACAGCGTCGCGCGGGGGGTCGTGTTCGCAGAACTGGCAAGCTATCCTGTCGCCCGCCGTCGACATGGTGGGGCTGCGGCGATACGGGGGCCGCTCGCGGCAGTTCTCCCCTGGGGAGTTGGGCCCGCTAAGGGAGGCCTTCTGGAAGCGGTCAATGATGTTCTGCAGGGTCACATTGCGCTTGAGGCCCTCCAGGCCCCGATGGTTGAGGGAGATGACATAGCGACAGGTGGGGCACTGGAAGGCGGTGATGGGCTCGAGGGGCTCGCCAGAGGCGCAGCTGGAGACCAGGATGCGGTGGGCGCAGCTGAAGCAGAGGCTGTGAGCGCAGGGCAGGAGCAGGGGGTCTTCAAACAACTCGAGGCAAATTGGGCAAGTCAGTTCCGACTCCAGTGTTTCCATCTTTAGTTAAAACAATCTGGCTTCAGTGTTGAGAATGAGGGAGGCAGGGCAGCCACCTGCAAAAGGAAAGAGGAGGGGAAAAGAGGAATTATTTATAGTCTCTCACCTCCCTCCCAGCCTTTCAGGCAGCCCTGAGAGAAGGAGAGAGAGAACGAGGAAGAGAACATAAGGTTATCCAGCACGCTCACAGCTGAGCAGAGTTTTAAATCTTCATTTTCCTCTGTAACCAAACCTGTGATTCAGGCACTGCCAGAGCGAATCTTAACTCTGCATGAGTGCGTGCACACAGCAAACAGCATACTTTGCAGTAACAAAGACCTCCCCTTACAACGTTCCACAGGCATTTTCTTTCACACAATCTCAAGTAACCAAAAGGGTTTTCCCTTAACATCACTGACTGGTTATGGAGGTAAAAAGCAAAAAAACAAAAACAGGCATACCTGAAATGCCAAAACAGGTGAGAAGAAGAAATTTGGCAACTTGAAGGAACCTGCTTTGGATGAAGAAGGAACGAGGTGCAACCATAACATCTCCATAGAGCTTCATATATTCACATGAAACTGACACAATTTCTCCTATTTTGAATAAATTGCACTGATGGTGAAGTTGACCTCTGAGCAACATCCCCGGCAGAGACCGAAAGAGCCACTTCTTTGAACTACAATTCTCAGAATTGCCCAGACATTGCGGGCAGGTGCTTTCCCCAGATCCGATCACTGGGAGGTTTCCTTGAACCTTGCAAGCTCAAATTCCATATCTGCTCTCAAAATCTACAAACCAGTTTACGTCCCCAAACTATCTATATATATAAAAATGCTCTGTGCGTTTTGAGTGATATCATAACTAAAAAACCACTGGATGAATTGCCACCAAATTTGGCCACAAGACACCTACTAACCCAAGGAGTGACCATCACTCAAAAATTGATTTTTGTCATTTGGGAGTTGTAGTTATTTATTTATTATTTCCAGTATTTCTATCCCGTCCTTCTCAACCCCCGAAAGGGGACTCAGGGCAGCTTACAGCAACGATTCAATGCCGCAGCAAACAAACAATATAAACAATTATAACAACAATTTAAAAACCATAAATAAGACAATTGAATTAAAAACAATTTAAGCAAGATTGTCAAACCATATAGTCATTTCCAGTCTAGATCATCATTCAAAGTGCTGTCATGCCTGCTGCCCGAAGGCCTGGATCGCAGAACCATGACTTGAGTTTTTTCCTGAAAGAAAGGAGGGGAAAAGTCGATCTGATCTTGCTAGGGAGTGAGTTCCACAGGCACGGGGCCACTGCCAAGAAGGCCCTGTCCCTCATTCCCACCAAATGCATTTGCGAAACTGGTGGGGACGAGAGCAGGGCCTTCCTGGATGATCTTAGGCTGCGAGGCGGGACGTAGAGGGAGAAGCAATAACCGCATCTCAAGTCATCCAAATCACTACATTGTTAATGTTCAGACAAGCCAACCATGGTGCCAAAGTTCTCATTTCAAACAAGCTACACCATGGTTTGACAATGAAGGTGACACGAAGTCATGGTTAAGTACAAGCAGAAGTGAAAGTCCTCCTCGCAGCTCCAGCAGAAGGGAGGAAGTATGTTTAACCAAGGCTCACTGAAGTATATTAGATCAGAACTTAGAAGGATTGCTTCTTGGGAGTGCAACCTCCAGAAGTCCTCAGCAAACACAATCACAATGGCTAGGGGATTCCGGACGTTGTAGTCCAAAAATATCCCTTCGAAATTAAATAAATCCCAAATAAGCCCAAAACAAGCATTGCTTATGAAACAAGTGCCCTCCAAAATAGAGGGAAATGCATTTCCTCCATTCCTCTCGCAGCCTGCTGTGCAGGTGAGATAAGGCCCAATGACAGCCCAGCCTTGGTCCACTGCCAAGCCTTTCCCTCTGCTGAGCAAACATGAAAGGTAGCTGGCTGCAAAGCAATCCTTCCAGACACATTCCGAAGTGAAGCCAATTCCAGAAACACATCCAGCCGCATGTTTAACTGCCTATCGCTCCTCCTCTGATGGCTAGAAATAAACTTTTGTGTTTGTTAAAAGCCATGATTCTCCCTGAAATGAATTCTGACACAAGCTAATTCCTACTTCAAGGAATGATGCTATTAATACGTTAATAAGACTTGAACTATGATGGTCCCTTGCCCAGCTCCACAAGCATGTATATAATAACCTGCCAACTGCATGGTGACAACACTCCATGAATCTTCTGAATTGGGTAGCATTTCCTAGAAGCTCATGCCAAATAATTTAAGATGAGTCTTTAAGGTGCTACAATATTATATGTCCCAGGAATCACTGGAATGTTTTTAAGATTGGGAGGGTCAGCACTTATAGGCACCATTGCTACATTTTTGCCTACCTGCAGGTAGGTACAGTATCATGAACTTCTGCTGCCTTGGCAGCCACCTCTCCACCAAAATCAACATCAACACCGAAATACAACACCACCTGAGCTCTGCGAGTGCACAATTTTTCCAAATGAAGCACAGAGTGTTTGAGGACCAGGACATCCGTAGGGATACCAAGGAGCTTGTTTATAAAGCTATTGTCCTCCCAACCCTGCTATATGCCTGCGAGACATAGACTGTCTACAGACGTCACATGCAACTCCTGGAACGATTCCATCAGCGCTGCCTCCGGAAAATCCTGCAAATTTCTTGGGAAGACAGGCAAACAAATGTCAGTGTGCTGGAAGAAGCAAAGACCACCAGCATTGAAGCGATGGTCCTCCGCCATCAACTCCGCTGGGCTGGCCACATTGTGCAGATGCCAGACCACCGTCTCCCAAAGCAGTTGCTCTATTCCAAACTCAAAAACGCAAAACAGAATGTTGGAGGACAGGAAAAGAGATTTAAAGATGGGCTCAAAGCCAACCTCAAAAACTCTGCCATAGACACTGAGAACTGGGAAGCCCTGGCCCTTGAGCACTCCAGCTGGAGGTCAGCTGTGACCAGCAGTGCTGCAGAATTTGAAGAAGCATGAATGGAGGGCGAAAAAGAGAAATGTGCCAAGAGGAAGGCATGTCAAGCCAACCCTGACCGAGACCGCCTTCCACCTGGAAACCAATGCCCTCACTGTGGGAGAAGATGCAGATCAAGAATAGGGCTCTACAGTCACCTACGGACTCACCAGAACACTGATCCTGGAAGACTATCCTACTCGGCCAACGAGCAATTGCCTAAGCAAGTAAGTAAGTATCATGAGAAACTTATCTGAATATCAAGACTCTTCCAAATACAAAGTGTCCTTCATGTGTTTGGTGGAAGTGTTGCCAAATTGGCTTCCTTTCATGACCAGGGTTTTAATTCATGATCTGGTCATGGAAAGCCACAGGGAGACATTTGGGAAACTTTCTATCACCTTCAGAAGAAGTCAAAAGCAAACCCCCTACTGAACAAAGCCTGCAAAGAAAACCCAGTATCGCCATGAGTCAGAAACGACTTGAAGGCACACAAAAAGCAGCACACTGAGATTTGTATATGGTCCAAAGTAGTTCTTCTGGTTTAAGCTATTTCATACATAAACTCAAAGAAGTGGCTTTAACTAAAGCCACTTCTAACTAACTCTAACTAAAAGGTTTTGGGGAACCTTGGAACTATAGCCATAACAACCAAGGCTTGAAAACTAACTACCCACGCATGCCCTGGCCAGGGATGGATCTATGGAGGGCATCTTTGCACATCTACTGTTTTGCTTGGAGGACACACTGTGCACTTTCATTCCAAGGCTGGCTTTGATGTCTGGAATTGATGCGGCAAACTGAATAGCTGATTAGATTAAAATCTGCTCTGTTGACAGTAATTAATTCCCCATATCTCAAAATGCTAAAATATTAACCAGACTTGTAAGGCAGCGGGATACGACACGCACCTGCATCCACCATGGCAAAAAAGCTCTGCACCAAGATGTTCCAGGAAAAACCGATTCTAATTCTCATCCTCATCCTCATTTATGTATTTATTTATATAGCACCATCTCTGTACAAGGTGCTTTACAAATAACATAGAACAACATAGCAGTTCCCTGCCCTTAGGCTTACAATTAAAAACACGACACAAAAGGTAAAGGGATGGCACTGGGAGAGGGATTAACTTCAGCATCTTCTGCTCCTCACCCTTGAAGGCATGGGCAGGGGCAGCTGGGATGGAGGATAGGCCTTTCATCCTGCTTCTGAGCCTACTTCTCTCTCTCGAAGGCATGGGCGGTGGTAGTTGGGGTGGAAAGAGAACCTTTCATCTTCTTAAAGCAGCAGCCAAGCAACTGTACTGTACTTTACTTACTTACTTAGGCAATCCCTCATTGTCCAAGTAGGATTGTCTTCAAAGATCAGTGTACTGGTGGGTCCATAGGTGACTCTGGAGCCCTATTCTTCATCTGCATCTTCTCTCACAGTGAGGGCATCAGTTTCCAGGTGGAAGGCAATCTCGGCTGGGGTTGGCTTGACGCGCCTTCCTCTTGGCACATTTCTCTCTTTTGCTCTCCATTTGTGCCTCTTCAAGTTCTGGAGCACTGCTGGTCACAGCTGACTCTATAAGTTCTTCCTTACAAATAGTTCTGCCCCTTTATCTCACCCTGAGTTTTTAAATCATTTTATGTACATGTGGCCCGCTCACTGTCATTATGGTTTACTGCTTTTTAAAAATGTTTTGTGTATATTGTTTATATGCTTCTATGTTTTATACTTTAATGCTATGCTGTTTATTTTATTGCAATTTGTATCTTATTGTATTGCAATTTGTTGTTTGGGCTTGGCCCCATGTGAGCCACTCCGAGTCCCCGTTGGGGGAGATGGTGGTGGGGTATAAATAAAGTTGTTTATTATTATTATTATTATTATTATTTTATTATTATTATTCCAGCTGGAGCGCTCAAGGGCCAGGGATTCCCAGTTCTCAGTGTCTATGCCGGAGTTTTTAAAGATGGCTTTGAGCCCATCTTTAAATCTCTTTTCCTGCCCACCAACATTCCATTTTCCATTTTTGAGTTCACAGTAGAGCAACTGCTTTGGGAGACGGTGATTAGGCATCCGGACAAC